CCGCGCTAGTACTTACTCGCGCTAGCATATCCGCACACGCGCGCGCGCGAGCGCGAACGCGAACGCGAACTCGGTGCTCGGCTGCGGGCATTTGCATGGCCGCGACTGTTCTTTAAATTTTCTAACTCGAGTAGCAGTTGCCTGGCCGTCCTTGCCGGATGTCTCAATTTTCCGTGCGGTATGCAGCTATGACTAATACGTCGCGTATCGCAACGCGCCAGAAATGGCAATCGCGGCGTATTACGACAGTCGAGCGAGACGGCTCGGAAAAAAAAAATCCGTCGGATGGACGAGCGGGAAACGTTCGCCTTTCGTTCTGTTGTTCGTTCGTACCGTTCGACGTTTTCTTGCGCCGGGTGTTTCGCGTCGATCCGCGACGACCGGAGTTTATTCTAACAGGTAAGTATCTACACCGGTAGAACGGAGAACGAAAGTATCGGCGCAGTGTGTAACAGCGTAGAAGTAGGAGTCATACTTTTTACACATTATCAACGGTGGGAGTGACTACAACCGACTGGTCCGCGACTATTTATGAAAATTAATGAAACGTGCTATTTCGGATTTCGTTGAAATTGGATTGTACACGTAAATCCATTTATTCAGGTCTGCGCCGGAAATTGGGAATTCATGATTTCAATCATTGCGAAACAAGATGTTTTAATGAGATTTGTAGTCTTAACTTAAGCTGATCCTTTAATTTTCTGGTGGATCGAACTTTTCATTTGTTAAGTGAAGAAATATGGTGGTTAGGTACTTCGAAACTCGAGGTTATTTTCGAGGAATAAAGGAAATTGTAAGCTGAGATTTTTCCTTGTAGAAGAGGCGTAGAAGAGAGTTTTGTATTTGAAGCTTAATCAACTTAACGCGTTCGCTACCAGCGTTTATTTCGATGAGGACCTCCTCAATTGTAATATTTTATTCAATTTAATAAATCTTCTAAACGAAATATCGAAAAAATGAAACTGGAACGAGTTATTGAGTTCCTAAGTATAATGCCACAGCTTATAACTTTAAATAACAATATCTATAAGATTAATTTCATTTGCTTTATGCAAAATATAAGATTGCGCCCGTCACATATATACGACACTAGTAGTGAACGTGTTAAGCTAAATAATGTTGGATATTATTAAACAAATGGTTTATTAGCTTAAAAATGCTAACAATTATTAATATTCGTTTAAATTTCATATGAATGTGTTATTAATATTAAAATATTCTCTTTTATTAAGTACAGACAATTTCTGTATCATAAACGAATCTAAATAAAATCAAATCTCGAAGAGGAAATGAATCTTCTTTCCAAAATTTTGTTATTCTTTCATTGAAACAGAATGTATTTGACGCGCTGAGATATTATAAAAGGGAGTCAATATAAAAACTTGTTGACTAAACAACTGTGAACCATTAATTTCAACTAAAGCTATTTCCCCTGAAATTACAGTTTTCAATGGGCTGTTACCTAATAAGAATGTAATTAACGATGTATTAACGATATTATGAATGTAATCTTTGTAATCAACAGGTGGCGGGCAGTATTGAAAACCGCAAGTTGACTGCCGGAGACAGGTGTGTACCTTTACCAGAAACATTGTTAAAACGGCAGACAGAGGGTATCCTTTGTTTGCGCCATTCAGTTTAAAACAGTCATATATTATATAGGTTTAAGCGTTTCAAGATTATTGCAAATAATCTGTATGGTTGGCGAGGTGCTTGGTCCCTTATCCTCGATTACACGCTTATCATGCTCTTTGTTTTTTCTTTGGCATACGAGTAAACGACCGAGACACGTTGTCTTTAAAATTTCTCGGTCCTTGGTGAGGAAAAAGAATGACATTACAGTGGAAGGATATGCATATCATTCCGAATGACGATATAACAGCATCGACATCCATACCGCAACTGCATACTGCAGTTTCGAAGATGACAAAAAGTATACTGGATTCACATGCCAAATCTAAAAGTAAAATCTTTGCACGAGGTGCTAAAGGATACAGCGTGCATTGTAAAAATTATGTCGAGAAGCTTTTATACAAACTTATATTCTTGCATACCAGTTTTCCTCAAAACGAAAACTACGGTTGAAAATATTCTCAAAGCTGCAACTATATTAAATATAAAATGGAAATTCTATCGTACCTTCTCACATGACTTTTTATTGCACATGTTCGTTTTTCTATGATCATGTAACATTCGTAGTATTAATAATCATCATTTCAAACTATTCACAAATGTGATTTAAAAACATTGCAACATTGAATTGTGGATTAATGCGTGTACAGATATTCGGACTGATTGATATGCAGTGTTGTAAATTAATTGTATATTATTTTGCACAATACATTTCAATGTTACATCCACGCAGAATGCACGTTATACAGTAACGAACACGAGTACAGTCGAATTTGACTGATTCGACCGACAAACCCTAGCTAAGGGGATACACAATTGAACCGACCTGCACAATAAATAGACGTGCATCGGTGTCCAATAATCTCCAAATCATTATCTTAACACGCGGGACGCGTACACGCGCGCGTTACGCAACGCAGCCTTTACATAATACATGTTACGTTAGACTGTTAGGTGTTCTAACTACGATTAATCTGTTCTTACCATTCATCGATGTTCGTTTTATACCATATAATTTATTCGCGTATCAGTTTGGTCGACTTTGACGAACGTTTGAAATCTGTATCTTCGGATCTGCTTACTATACCGCGATTAGAAAAGTGGAAATCATATTTTTCTGTATTTTTGTGAATTTTGTGTTTCGAAAATATAAATGAAAGTGAGCAAATGAAAAATAAAAATGACGGGGAATTTTGATAATTTAATGTGACGATAAATCTGGCAGGGTTTGATATTACCTGTCTGGAAAGAAATAGATCTAAATTCGTCATTTTAGAATTTGATTTGTATACTTGCAATAGCAGTAGTTCAAGACTGTTTAGATGCAATTACTAATTTATGGTTCCCTCTCCGTAGTTGTGCCTCTAGGAGCTATTAACACCTTTCGAGAAAATACTAGATTTTACAACCGTTTCATTGGTTCGTGACTCACTGTTGTCTTGTTTCCCTTCTCTCGCAGTTGGTACGACTGCAGTTAGGCTCGACTAGCGATAGCTGCTCTGCATTAGAATCTAAAATGCGGAGCGATCATAACAATATATTTTGCATTGAAATTTTCGTTATTTCTACTACCGATTCTGTTGAGCCTCGTAAGCTATTTTACGTGACAAATATAATTATAAATCAATTAGCTATGAAAGAATAAACGTGACAATTGCTTAATGCTCTACCTCTATCGCAAACCTTAATTAATTCTACTTTCATAATGACAAACATTTTCACCTACTACTTAAATCAGCATTAAATAAAATATTGAAAATATGTTTTACGAAGGAAACCTCCAAAATGAATAATTATATATTAACACCTAGCCTTACGAGTTCTTTCTGAACCGCAATCCAACTACTGTGTTATCAATAATTTATTCAAAACAAGAGAAACTTCCAGTTTTATTCTATATCAACGTCTAAGCTATCTAAGCTATGACCATTAATAAAAGAGAAGCAACATGTAATTTGCACCCAAACAAATTGAATAATATTTATGTTTCCTATATTCTACTTGAACTCTTCACCCACGAGTCTGACACGATATCGCAGGGCAAGGGGTTAACAATATTTTAATATTTCAATTTTATCATCCTTTTTCACAGCAACCACTTTCCTCAGTAAATTGAAGCTTCGTTCGATTCCAACGTACCCGAAGCAATTCAGGAAAATCGGTATTTCCACAAACATCGGCGGCTTATAAATAATCGAGGCCGGCGAGAAAACGCGCGAAACAATCGAATATTAGGCGCGCCTTCGGCAGGAAACAAAGTGAAAGTCGTCGGCACGGTGACGCGTGAAAAAGGTCCGAACGCATCGCGATACGCTCGCGCGTACGCGAGCGAGTCGGAATACCGTCGAAGGTTTCGAGCGGAATCGCACGATGGTCGGGCCATGGAGGAACGCGCGTGCACGTCAGGGCCGTGCAAACACGCGTGTTCCCCGTGAGAACCGATGTCTCCCTGGGAGCATTATTCATACACGGTCACACCAGACGAAGCGGGTGCGCGACGAAAGTCACAGCGCAACCCTGTTCCACGCGCGGGAAGCCGATCTTCGTGCACGATCAATTGATTCCCCGGGATCCGTTCTGTACTTTGTATATTTATATTTATCATATTTATTTCATATTCTCGTTTAACACGTCCAGTACCAGTGTTTGTTTCGGTGACGATCACCGCAGTTGTAATATTCTATTCGATTCCACATATCTAAGCAAAACATTGAAGAAATGAAACTGAAACAAGTCGTTGAGTCCCAAATATAATGCAGTAGCTAATAACTTTAAATAACAATATGTATAGAAATAATTTCATTTTCTTTATGTAAAATACAACATTGCTGCCGTCATAAATATGTGACGCTGGCGGCGAACGTGTTGATATCTTTCTTATATAATGATTTCAATCGTATCACAGACATCATAGACAGAAGACGATTCGTTTGTCCGTTGATATATGTTATTTAATATTTCCATTTAATATTCTTTTTATAAAATGATTTCAATTGCAACACAGATGTCGAAGGCAAAAGAAAATTTGTTATTTTATTAATATAAAATTACTTTCGCGTTCGTGTTTTCAATTATATATTCTTCGTATCCTGTTTGATGATAGATCTATGTATCTATAACATTCCACGTCACTCTAAAATATACTACGATCGTAGAATACGTAACAGCTGCAAGAATCAACCTCAGCTTCAAGACACCTTAATTCACTCCGCTCCCAAAAACAATATAAAACCTTCAAGCAACCTCGTACATGCAAAAACTCTCAGAACCACAATTCTACGTTATAAACCAAGATTTCTTGCAGTACAACTTAACAGTGAATAAACAAGCGATTCAAAGTCCACATTCAACAAAATAGATAATTCTACCTTCGTTGTTCCATAGAAAGTTCTAAGGGAAAAAGAGCGTCCGTGTCAATTACAAGAGTAACAGAAAAAGAAGGAAGGAGAAGAAACGGAATATTTTCATTCCGTTGACACACGCTTCACGATGTACCCGCCCACGCAGGCCAGGTACCCTCGCGGAGCGTAGCGCGCTTAAGTAGCCCGAGCCGCGCTGTCCGTGGCACTACGCATCGAGATTCTTCCTGGTATGCGCGTCGGTGCTCACGTGAACGCATGCATCATTCGCTCGTAAAGACATCTGCACCAAGCGCATACGTGGCCGCGTGCACTCGCGGACGTGTATGCACGCGAGCACTTGCGCGGAACGCGGCGCGTTCGCCCGCCGCCGCCGTCGTCGTTTCCTTCTCCGCCTTGTTTCTTTCCCCGGTGCCCAAGCTTCGCCGGGCTCTATCGGCGACGCTCACTGATAACGAGCAGTGACAGAGATAAGGTACAACAGAGGTCCGGCGCGGCTACCACGCTCTCCTGAATCGAGCTCTCGCGTTCTAGGTCGGTTTAATAATAGGCCCGAGGAAAGTTCCGGCGTTTCTGCCACCTATAACGCGACAGAACGATTTTTCCGGCTTAACAATTCAAACTATCATAATATTTTTCACGGTGCCCGGGAGTCCTTTGTCGTCCTTGCCCGCGGAATCGCTCGCCGTCTTTATTGTGCCGCTTATTGCGGAATGTGCTGTAGACATGGCGAGCATATAAGAGCGGAATACTCGTTTAACCGTTAATTTAAATTCAATTTCCTTTTCTTAATTTTGCTCAATTTTTTGCTGCGCGGCGGTTTTCTTCTGGTTTGTCGGTGATTGTAGAAGATCGGGTGATAAAGAGTAACGAGAGTATATTGTATTTAGGGATAGCGAATATCGAGAAGAATACATTGACTCTTAGAGTTTAGCAGCATTGGTGATAAAATATAGTTATGTGGTATGTTTAGAGAATTTTATAATATAGAGACAATTTGCGAAGGCACGCAAAATGATTATCTCAACTGATGCAAATTTGGGTTCTACAAGTCGGAATAATTTTCAATAATATTCGCTTTATCATTTAGTAATAAGAGTCTTGTTATTTTGGAGATCTTTTCATACGTCGTTTCCTTTACCAACTGCCTAACAAATTACCCAAAAATGGTGTCGCTGTTATCTATATCACCGTAACTCAGGAAAGAGTGAAAATGTCCACTATTCACAATAAGGGTAGATAAGAATCGATCGAGTCTCAGGGTTCGCGAGTCGTCCGACGAATAATTGAGAAATTCAGGTTCCCGTTCCTCGTATTCTCGCCGCAGCAGGAAACAGGAGGGAGAGAGGACGTTCAGGATCGAACGTCAGGAGCCGGCGAGGTCACTGAATAGCTTAAAGGTCGACTGCCTATATCCACCGAGTGAACAATATCCCGTGGGAATCCTTTTCTTGATTGAAGGAGGGCGCGATGGCTGTTGTTGCCGCGGCGCGGTGCGGCTACGGCTGCTCCGGCCGCGTATACACATTTCCTCGAGCCGCAACTTTGAAATCCTTCTAAGAAAGATGGCGGCATAATGGGGACCGCCACGACCGTAATCCTTCGATGGAAAAGTATTCGATGGCTCGAGCGAGCAAACGAACACTCGGCGTTCCTCCCATTAACGAGGCGAACCGAGAAGGTCGGGCCTCGGGAAGCGGCGAAGTCTACCGCGCTGGTTTATCGATGACTTCACGCGATCTTCGCGCGGCAGGATCTCAATGTACACAGGGTTTATCATATCTACGCCGACTCTTACTTTCTTGCGGCAAATTGCGGCTACGCCGGCAACGATATTGCGATCAGCGGCCTGCTGATGCACGTGAATTTTTATTTTCGCGCTGGTCTTCGAAGATACGTAACCACTTTTATTGCTTCGCGTACACTCGCGCTCACAAGTTTCGAGCATCTTGTTAAACGTATCAGCAAATTGACGCGGTTTTCTTACGAGTGAAGTTTCCTGCTTTGGAAATTCGCATTGTTCGGGGAACGACTTCTTTATTGAGAATCAAACTTGAAACTTGATAGAGATATGTTGTACAGATACAGGGACTTTAATGTGAGGATAACGGTACCTTTATGAAAATAAATGCTTAAGTTTCAAATGTTATGTTCTTAACTTCAAAAAGTATGATAGTTTTATGGCTTTACTTCATCCGTTCAAGCAGAACTTCGGCCGGCAAAGAATTATTTCTTTCTTAAAATATATTCCACAACCCCAAAAAGTATCACGAGAGCTAGAATTTTCAGGTTGGAATGGAAATTTTATTTAAATTCAACATACCTTCCCGCGATTTGATTTGACGAGAATATAGAATGTCGGGGAACAGTGTTGAATATTATATAGGGAGCGTATCTCCTTACTTTCCTTCGCATATCGGATTCGACGAAAAACAGTACAGTACCCATTACCGCAACAAAAAATCTCCTTTCGGATAAATGTTTCTTGCGTCGTATTTGTTTAACGAAATAAGAATCTGTACACATAAAAACATTCTGAAGCATCCTTCTCACCGATAGAAACCGCCCGGTCGCTCCAAAGGAATACCTATTAAAAGGAAAGACCTAAACAAGCTTAGGAAACCTACGCAACAAGACCACGAAGACGAATGTCAGGAAACGTTCGCGGCCATCAAACTTTTTCACTTAAAACGAATCCCGAAGTCGACACCATCGACGGAACGACCAGCGGCGAACGTTCATCGCGCGCATTTGCATCCACCGTGAATGCATAAAATCGGCGTCACGTAGCTCCCCG